CTGCTGGATTTTGGACTTGTTTTGCCCACAATGGTTTGTGTCCCTCTCTGTGTACCTTATGGAATGGCAATATTTCTTGTGCCATTGAATGTTGGATGTATTTAACTTTTTATTTGTACAGGGGCTCACATATGAGAGTTTGCCTTGGATCTTGGAGGAGATTTTGACTTGGACTTTTCAGCAATGCTGAAACTGTTGGCAACTCTTAGAGATGAACTAAAATGCCTTTTGGACAAAAGGGGGTTCATGTGCAGAATTTTATGGCTTGTGTCTTGTTGTCCCTCCAAAGCCTCATGTAAGTTATGGGGCAGATACAGCTGGAGGAGCAACCAGTGGCTTGAGGGGTGGGGCCAGAGGACCAGGGTTGGGCCTGAGGGGTGGGACCACAGAGGTGTGACCCATTAAACTGGCTAGCCTGTGCTTTCTCAGAGAGGTGCAGAGTGTCATTCTGGACACAGCAGTGCTCCAGCCTCTCCTCTAGTGTCTTGAAACCTTCAGTAACTGTGCACTAAATAAACCTTTCCTTTCCAGGGTCAGGGATATAGCTCAGTGGCATAAGTGCCTGCTTGGTAAGCTCAAGGTCCCAAGTTTGATCCCTAGTACCACAAACAAACAAACAAACAAACAAGACAAAAAGACTCTCCTTCCCTAAGCTTGAGTGTCGGGTATTTGTCCCAGCCACGAGAGAAAAGTAACTAATACATAGAGGAATAGTATCAGCACAGGAAAGTCTCCCAAAAATCATTTACAGCCATGTTATACACATTACCCCCTCATGAATCCATCCTTCCTATGTAATCCTCCAGTCCAGGTCCCATTAGGTACAGATTATCTGAGGGAAATCAGTGATCAACTCACAGACCCAATCAGGGCTCTAAGCCCAAGTCAGCAAGGCTTACCTTCTCTGTGTGTAGATTCTTCATCTGGTTGCATTGGATAATCTTTCTCTGATCCATGTGCTCCTGGTTTTGAAAGGGAACATGGGGAGTGTGCCACGTCAGGTGTACTTGCAGATTTAGTGAATAAAGGAAAGTAAGCCATGGTGAGCATACAGAGAGCTTGGGTCACAACAGAGGGCCAGGAACAGAAGCCAGAGAATCATGACTGGGTTCCTGGTTACATTTAGGTCCCCTGTGTCAGCACACACATTTATGAGGTACCTGTGAACCCACTGAAACATATACTGATTTCTCCATAAACAGGAGCAGAGAATGATGCCTTCAAAGATGCTACTAGTTAAAAGGTCTTGATTTGACATTCAGCAAAATTGTGTAATGGCTCAGATTGCATATTCTGTCACCATGTAAGCTGTCATTCCTTCTGATCCTCACCTCCAAAATGGGACTAGGAGCTTCTGACTCTTAAGGCTACAAATAGCCTTAATAGGAGAGGCAATAACAGCAATAGCACATATATATTGTTTATTGTATAATATTTTCTGCTAAAAGTTTCATATATTTCATCTTTGTTCAATACCTGCATCCCAAGTGGTCATGCTCTTACTCTTCCATTTTTCAGAGGAAGGAAATGAAGTGACTATCACAGGATCATAGTGCCAGGACTAGGACATGTCCCTTCCCAGGTTTCAGGTCCATTTTCATAACCATGACAATGGGCAGATGCTCCTTATGTGCTTGGCCAACATGCATGTCTGAGCCAGAGCCCTTTGGAATGACACCCTCTTATCTTCCTCCTGTCTACCTTCTTAATCATCCCTCTCAATTCTGTGAGAATCACTTGTGAGCCTTGGGATGAACTCAAGTGGGTATGTGTTTGGGCCTCTGGGGTCCAGAAAGGAATCCAGAAATCCTCTGAGTTCTACCCTACCATGGACATGGATCTTCCTGTGACAGTGGAGTCCTTCTCACTATCCATAGAAAGACCTTGTGGAAGCATTCCTTCAGTAGCAGTGATCAAGTCCATATGGAGTTCTTTAATCTACTCACCCAACATCAAGGATGCTTCTTCCAAGGCCTTGTCATGTAGAAGGGTCAGGCCCATCTGTTTCCAGGTGTCAATGGCCAGGTCCCATGCCTGATGCTCTCCATACTGAGCCACCAAATCTGAGGCCACATCTGTTCCACTTATCTTCAGTGTCTGAACTGATGTTTTACCAGAAAGGATTATGAGGTGTGTTGTGTTCTGGACCCAAAGCTGGAACTCCTGTAACTCCTCCTTCTTTAGTTGCTCCAGGTAAGAGGCCAAGAGATACTTTAATTCACCAGCCCTTTGTAATCTAGGCAGGGGAACCTGGAGAGACCATTCATGTGGTGTGTCAGTGAATGAGCAGATGTGAAGAGAACTAGGCAGGACAAGATCTAGAGTCTCTCTTTTCTTTGATTCCTAGAATTTCCCGATGCAAGATTCCCATTGGAGTAATTATTTCCCCTGGCAAGCTCCTTGAAGCAGTCAGAACCCAATTTTATGAGCCCTGGAGCCTTTGCTAATTGGTGATACATGGAGAATAAAAAGCAAAGGAAGTGATAGGAAAAGCCATAGTAAGACAGATCTTTGGGGGTACTTAGAAACTGGAAGAAATCAGATGATACAGTGTGGATGGTTCAGGAGGAGCAATGGGAATCAAGAATGAGAGAGTGGAAGGATGGAAATCTGAGGACACGGGGTGTGAATAACACTCACTGCTTCTTGCTCCTTTATTCCCTCTGCTTCAGATGCTTCCATCTTGACTTGGAATCAAATCTTGCTCAGCTTGGCTGGAGATGAGGAGGTTGGAGATGCAGTACAGGTGGTGGATTACAGCCCCATATAGGGCTTAAGGCTTCACATCTGTGGTTTTCTCCAGATCACTCCTGGTAGTGGAACAGCAAGCGGAGAGAACAACTCTGTTTTGGCCACAGCAGGAAGGACAAGTTACTAGAGACCCCTGAATGGTATGGCCTAGGGAAGGCCAGAAAAGTCTTATGTCACAGCAGTACAGACATGTACAATGTACAGGTGCACATAACACCCTCCTACCTTTGCTAAGTACAGAGGTGGCCAACCTTTTAGAAACAAGTTTTTAAGATAAAATATATTCTGCAGAGTGCTTTTTTCTTAACTGAAACCTGTACAAACATAATTAAGTGGCAATGTTGTCCATTTGTTACAAATAACTGGGTTTGAAGTGAAGTTTGGGATGCAGTCTCCTAAATGTTTGTCATCACTGCCCTAGAAGCTTCCTGTAAGTGCAGAATACCAGCTCCAGGCAAGGTCTGGGGACCAAGGTTCTCATTCTGACTGGGTGGATCTCTATGTCTGTCAGGGAAGCTCCTTAGTGAAAAGTCTACTGAACTTGGTCAGAAGTACATAATTCCATCCACAAAAGTGTTAGAATGATGCTCCCCCCTAAGTGATGAATGTTGACATAATGAGGCCTCAGTCAGATCTGCAATTTGGTTTTGGTCCCATGTTAGAAATGATCCCCAAGACTAAAATAGTTTGTGCTGGAAAGAAGCAAGAGAATGTAACAAGGCAAAGTGTAAAGTTTACCTCCACAGAAGAAAGCCAGGGTTCTCATGCTTGAGGCAGCAGGTGCACAGTGTGGTGGGAAGTGGGGAGCTTTATGTCTGAATGCATGGCAAGCAGCTGTCCTATATATTCATGAACTGAATTCAAAGCTTACAGTCTATAGTGATTGGCTAGTCTAAGAAGTGGAGACAGTGTGCCTGAGGAGCCGTTGGGCAGCATTATAAGGGAGGGTAGAGTGGGAGGACAGTGTGTGTGGAACAGAAAGTCGTTGGCTATTGAACACTATCTGAGTCTGTGGCTGTGTTTTTAGATTCTGATAGGGCAGCCATTTCCTGTGATAGAAAAGACAGGAAGTCCTTGGCTATTGAAAGCTATCTGGGTCTGTAGCTGTGTTTTTAGAATCTGATAGGGCAGCCATTTCCTGTGATAGAAAAGACAGGCACACAGTTTCTCACACCCGTAGGGGGCTTCACCTACTGTTCTCATTGCAGTTAAAACTATGTCTATTCAAGAACTCCTCCTTTCAACAGAGAGATGGTTTCACTGTGGCCTGGAAGAAGCTCAGCTAATCACATATGCTGACCACCTACCTGATTCTAGGAAAATAAATAAGAAGCTAGTTCATAGGGCAGTGTTCACTTTTGATCTGCTCTCTCTGAATTCTCCAAGGTCTAACATCCTCAATAAGAGTTACCTTTCCTTAAGTTGGTACTTTTATTTTTATCCAATTAAAAGCTTGTTAAAAACTGCTACTTGAGGGCTGGCCAAATAGCTCAGGGATTAAAGTGCCTGCAAGTAGGCACAGGGGCCGGGGGTTCAATCCCTGGCCTGCAATTCTGGCCCCGCCCCTGGGGCATGTTGAGATGGCAATTGAGACTGGGTGTGGTGGCGTGTGCCTGTAATCTCAGCTCTTGGGAGACTGTAAACAGGCAGATCACTGAGTCTGATCTAGTAGTGAGACCCTGAACACCCTATATTCCCTTCCTTAAAATATAAAATGAAACAAAACAGCCCTGCTACTTGCTCGCTGACATTTATTGTGTCACATTATTGCACATAATGTTTGTGAGGTCAAAGAACAGAGACACCAGCACAACATAGAAACAATGCAGAACATCAACCCTACCCAGACTGAAGACCAAAATTCTGGTACCACAGGGACTATATGCACCATGGAGTGTGACAGACATTCTAGTCAAGACAAGTACTTCAGTGCTTCAGAAAGTCAAAGAAGCCCATTGACTTGTGTGCTTTAGACTGAGTTCTGTACTCTAGGGGGTAGCTGTTACAGCCAGGCAATGTGCTGGCATCCCTCTGGGTGCTGTACAGTTCTTGCCTATACAGTAAACAACAGGTTATGGGTCTCAGTTCTCACCACAGAGCACACAAGTAACAGCCACACTGCCTGCCTTAGGCAGAAATCTTGGAGCTCCTTGTATGCCTGTGGCATACCCTCTCCCTTTTCCATGGTCTCCATCCAGTCTTCTACCATCCCTGAAGTACAGTGCCCCTGGGACCCACAGTTGTGATTGTTCTAAGTTTCTTTATATTCAGAGTCACAGGATCCCAAATAAGAGG